ATAATTTCATCTAAATTCATAAGAGATACTGATGTGTAGTTTTCTTGTGACATCTTTTTCTGACTTGGGACGCAGGGTTATAATGGCCTCAAAAGAATGAGTTGGGAAGCTTCTATGGTCTAAATGTTTTCGTCCCACCAAAATTCATATGTTGAAACTTGACTTGAAAGGTGACAGTACAAAGAGGTAGGGCCTCTGAGAGGGGATTAAGTCAGAAGGGTTCTGCCCTCATGAATGAGATTAGTGCCAACAGAGACTTGTGAGAGCCTGTTTGCCCTTTCACCCTTCCACCACATGAGAACACATAGAAGGTGCTATTCATGAGGAACAGGCACACCACAGACACAGAATTTCTTAGCACCTTTATCTTGGACTTTCCACCCTGCACAACTCTGAGCAATGAATTTTTGTTGCTTATGAATTATTCAGTCTAAGAAATTTGGTTATAGCATGCCAAAGGACTAAGACAGAAGCAATCCCTCCTCTTCTGTTTTTTGAAAAAGTTTCTGAAGAATTAAGAATTATTCCTTAAATATATGCTAGGATTTACCAGTGAAGCCATGTGGATCTGGGCTTTTCTTAGGGAGTAGGTTTTGCTGTTATTGTTTACCAATTCAATCTATAAACCAGTATATTCAGATTTTCAAGTTTCAGTTATTTGTGTCCTTCAAGAAATTTGTTCATTTCATCTAACTTACCTAATTTATTAGCATATAATTGTTCACAGTATTCCCAAGAATCCTTTCTGTATCTATAAGGTCAGTAGTAAAGTCCTCTTTTTTCATTCCTAATTTTACACTTAACAGACATCTACAGAACATAAGTCTTCCCTCTTTTCTTTTTAATCAGTGTAGCTACTTTGTCAGTCTTTTCAAAGAACCAACTTTTGGTTTGTTGACTTTTCTCTATTAATTTTCTATTCTCTATTTGATTAATTTCTATTCTAACCTGTGTTATTTTCTTCATCCTGCTCTTTCAGATTTGCTCTCCAGTGTCTTAAGATGGAAGGTTAGGTAAGTCATTGGAGACTTACCTTTATTTTTAATATAGGGATATTCCTCTAAGTACTGCTTTGCTGCATCTCTTGAGTTTTGATATGTAGTGTCTTCATTTTCATTTATGTCAAAATATTTTCTAATTTTACTTGTAAGTTCTTCTTTGGCTCACTGGTTATTTTGGAGTCTGTTAATTTCCACATATTTTTGAATTTCCTAAATTTCTTTCTGTTACAGTATTGATTCTTAATCCCATTCCACTGTGGTTGGAAAACATCTTTTGCATAATTTCAATCCTTTAAAATTCACTGAGGCTTGTTCCATGAACTAGCAAATACTCTATCCTGGAGAACATCTCCTGTGTTCTCAAGTGCACATTTTTTTCATGTGCACGAGAAAAATGCATTTCCTGTGGTTACTGGAGGGCAGATTCTACAGATGTCTGTTGAATCTAGTTGGCTAACAATGTTGTTCAAATCTACTATTTCCCTACTAATTTTCTACCTAATTGTTGTATACATTATTGAAAGTGGAGTATTGAGGTCTCCAACTATTATTGTTAAAAAGTTCATAATTATTTAAGGCCTCATTCTATTAATTTTCTGTTGTCACTGTAATGAATTATTACAAACTTAGTGGTCTAACACAATAACAAAAATGTATTATCTTACTGCTCTGGAGGCCAGAAATCTAAAATGGCCTCTAGAACAGTAAGGCAGCATTCCTTCTAGAGGCTCTGATCCTCTTTCTTGCCCTTCCCATCTTCTAGAATAGCAGTCCTCACCCTTTTTGGTGTCAGGGACCAGTTTTATGGAAGACAATTTTTCCACAGATGGGAGTGCAGGGGGATTAGATTCTCATAAGGAGCATGCAACCTAGATCCCTCACATGCACAGTTCACAACAGGGTTCACACTCGTATGAGATTCTAATGCCGATCTGATCTGACAGGAGGCAGCACTCAGGTGGTTAATGCTCACTCACCGGCTGCTCACCTCCAGCTGTGCACTTGGTTCCTTACAAGCCATGGACAGGTACTGGGGCCACATCTGAATAGGGTACCCCTGTTCTGAAAACTGCAGCATCCATGGCTTGCGGCCAAATCACTCCAATCTGTTTCTGTTGTGATACTGCATTCTATCTGACTGACTCCTGCATTCTTCTTATAAATACCACTGTGACAACAGGTCCACCCAAAAGATAATCTCTTGACCTCCAGATTTTTCATCATTTCTGCAAAGCACCTTTTACCATATAAGGTAAGATTCACAAACTGTGAAAAACAGGATAAGGACTTGTTTAGGGGCCGCAATTCAACCTACTACAGATATCAATGGAAAAAAATAACTGAATCAACTCCCCATGTCACTGAGCTCATCAGGGTCAATATAAGTCAAGTACATTTTAGCCCTACTTTTAAATATGTATATTTGTGTTCTCTGAGCATTCTTTACATCTGCTTATTTATTATGTCAGAAACTTTTAGTTTCTTTCTCTATCTCTTTCCAATATTTTATGAAATTATTTCAAGTTGGAAATATTGGAAATTATTCCCAATATTTTATGAAATTGTTTCAAGTTTATGAAATTATTCAACCATGTTGAATGAATATGCAGAACTGATGCACAAATCTGTGAAGGTGAAGAAGATACACCTGTTACAGCACAGCAAAAAAGGCACAGGTTTTGAAGTCAAAGCAGAACTCAGTTTTATGTAGCAAGCCCTGCTGCATATTAGCAAACACTAAGGTTTAATTTCTCAGGCTTAGTTTCAGTATCTATGAAACAAAATCTATCTGTAAGACAGATATTTTTATCTAACTATATGGCTGTATCTATCTATCTATTTGTATCTGTATATATAATCTACATGCATTATTGCAAAGATTAAATAATGTATGAAAAGATCTCAAAAATAGATCCTGGAATTTCATGTGCAATAAATAGTAGTTATCACTATTATTACATATTTGTTTACTGATTATGAATATCCCAGAACAAATTATATGGAAATGAAGTAATAATCTATTTTCTTTCATAAGCCATCACCAATGACCACAACCTAAAATAATCTTTCTCTTCCGCACTCCTACTATATCAATTGCTAGTATAATTCACTTGGCAAACAGTTACTGCCTTTCAACATTTCCTCTATTCCCATCTTTCAATGTCATTTACCTTTAACCCTTACTCTGTATTTTTATAACTATTTTACTCACCAAACGTGAAAAGTTTTTGAGGCCATGAACTATAGACCCTGAAACCAAATAGACACAAATTGAAGTTCTTGCTCCACCACATACTACATAACCTTGAGCGTTAGTTAGACTTTCTGATGCTCAGTTTCTTCATCTACTCAATGGTAATAGTGTTATTACCTAAAAAGGAGCATCACATTACACAATGCACCTAGCACAGAAAAGGCAGAAGAAAGCAAGTACAAGAACACTGATTTCTACTTCCCAGACTGCAGCATATTAAGATGAGAAAACACCATTTGACGAAAAACAAATGCAGTAGTTAAAGGGGCACAATACATTCTTACTAATAAAAATGGGGAGATGGAAGGAAAACAAAGAAAATGTGTCAAGTCAATTGATTAACTACCTAGTCATTTTGACATGGGATACCAAATAGCCTGACAAATACCCTGAGAGGCACTCTGAACAATACCGAGATAAGATTGCATTGTGATGTGGGAGGCAAGACAAAGGAACTCCGTAAGGCCCTTCTATTTTAATCCACTGTAATTTAGTAGAAACAGCATGGGTTTGGGAATCAGACTGAGAAGTCCAAAGCATTCAGCTATCAGCTAGCCATGTGACATTGCATCAGTTACAGCTTCCAGAAGAGGCTGCAACCTCACTTGTAAAATGGAATTTATGTTATGCATCTCAGAGGGGTATATCGAGGCTTGGGAAAAATATGGCCTGTAAATCTCCTGGCATGGGATCGGACACTTAGCAAGAACTCAACAAATCACAGCTCATTATTATTAATAATTATGTGACACTGACCAAGTCACTTAATGTCTCTAGGACCCTGATGTTTAATTTGAGATTTAAAACTAGGCTGAAGGCCAGGCGTGGTGGCTCACACCTATAATCCTAGCACTTTGGGAGACCAAGGAGGGTAGATCACCTGAGGTCAGGAGTTTGAGACCAGCCTGGCCAAGAAGGCAAAGCCCTGTCTCTACTAAAAATACAAAAAAATCTCCTGTAATTCCACCTACTCTAGAGATTGAAGCGGGAGAATTACTTGTACTCAGGGAGCGGAGGTTGCAGTGAGCCGAGATTATACCGCTATACTTCAGCCTGGGCAAAAGAGTGAAACTCCATCTCAAAAAAAAAAAAAAAACAAAAAACAGGCTGAAGATACACTAGGCACTTGACAAACAACAGTTTTTGCCACACCCAGTCATCCCTCTGTGGTAGGGAGAATAATAGCTCCCCAAAGACATACACACATTAACATCCAGAACCTGTAAATGTTAAGTCACATGGCAAAGCAGAATTAGGGCTGCAGATAGAACTAAGGTTGGTAACCACCTAGCCTTAAGATGGGGAGACAATCCAGGATTATCTAGGCAAGCCCGATGTCATCACGAAGGACAAATGGAAAAGAAAGGTGGAACAGAGAGGAGAGAAGAGATGGCAGAGTGAAAAGATTCAGCCTGGAGTTGCTGGCTGTGAAGCTGGTTGAAGGGGCCCAAGCTGAGGAATGTGGGCACCCTCCAGAGCTGGAAAAGCTCAGGCACAGACTTACGCCTGGGGCCAGAAAGGAGTGCAGCAGGGCCCACACCTTCACGTATGTGAGCCGTGGGAACCATGAGGACTTCTGAGCTCCAGGACCCTATGGTCATAAAGCCACCAAATTTGTGGCAATTTGTTATGTTATGGCAGCCATAGAAAACCAATATACTCTCACCTCGTTTTTCCATTTTATTTCCAATATATCTCAAAGAACATTTGAATCTGAAACTTGAAAAAAACATATTTTTTTCTACACACACATACACCTCATCCTAAAATGAAATCTCTTAAGAATATCACTCCTTATTGAACTAAATTGAATGAATGACGTTCTTGGTAGTGCTTGATTTCAAAAAGAATTTAGAGAATATTAAACAATATAAACTGGCTCATTAATATTCTGGAACAGTGGTGTTAAATAAAATAATTAAGAGATAACACATTGCAGAGAAGTACCTGAGTTTATGAGACTCAGCCAACTCAAAAGAAGTCTGAATTCTGAGAAACTAAACAAGACACACTGCAAACTTCCACTGGGCAACTGGTTAACTTCATGCATACTGCATATGTTAGGCTTCAAGGCAAAGTCTGTGGTATGAAATCTATTGTGAATATTGGGATTTGGTTTAATCAGAAGAAATACTGCTTTCTTTATGTAAATGTAATGTGAGTTGGGACCAACATTTCCTCTCCAAATATGGCATCCAAATCCAGATACTTAGGAACGTTTATCCTGAATTTTTTTTTTTTTTCAAAAAGATGGCAAACCTGTTCTGGAAAGGTGTCTTTTACAGGTTACTTACAAAGAAATTGACAACTTTAAAATGAATTAAATGAACTATGAAATTGTGAACTACAAACTGACAAATCATTAATTCCTGGTATGGTCTACAGGCAAAGGAACTGAAAATATGTTAGTGATAGACTCAAGTCTCTAGAAGACAACAAGGATCCTGCTATTCTCTCAAAACTGTAATATCAGCAGCAATGAGCGAGAATGGTGGCCATTCTCATGGACTCCACGGACTCCCCTGGAAGATCAGGCTGCGCCTGAGTGCTAGAAGATGGAGCTTCCATGCAATAAGCAAGAGGCTTAAAGGCTGTCTTCTGAGGAGGAGACCTTTTCTGGGTTTTTCTCCTGAAACTCTCCTTTTTCAGCCTGTTTTCACCATGTTGCCACTGCAATAAGAAAGCCCCTGAGCCCTACCTATTCTAGATGAGGCTCCTATGCCCCACTCAAAAAATAATAAGAACTGAGGTGCAACCCAAGAGAAGGGCAGCCTGAAGCAGACAAGTGACCATGTTCCTGTCCAAGGCCCAACGAAAGAAGCTGGGGAAATCTGGCAGTTTATACACCAAAGGTTGTGGCCAAAGTTTGTTAATACTAAAAAGTGTATATCTGTCTAGAATGTTGTTTCTGCACTCCACATATATCCTCAGGGTATCCCCAAGGCATGACCTAGACCCTCATTAAGCAACAGGATTCATATTCAGGATATGAAGATCTGAGCCTGATCACTACCAGATGAAGTAACAACACTCACCAAAAACATTCAGAATGAAAGCAGCAATTTCAGCATGCATCTGGTGGTGCGGATGGGAAGCCACAAAGCACGTCTTCAAAATGGAAAGTATGCTGGGAAAGTGCGAATCAGTCGAAGTCAACTTGGAAGCCACATGGTCACTGATGAAGAGAAGCTCTGAGGAGTCAGGAAGCTTTCCAGATGGAGGACCTGTGATACACCAGCTATTCCACCATACTTGTTGAGCTCTCTGTACCAAATGGCTCTCCTCAAAATTCTCATCAGTTTAGGGCTCAAGATGCACACAGGTAGCAGCACTGGCAGCAATGAGTTTTGAGACACCTACTTAAAAAAAGCATCACCAAAAAAAAGCTTTCCAAATAAACAGTTTTAAGTGTAATTTACAGAATTCAGTTATGAAGTTAGTCACCCTAAGTAAGCAAGGAAAGGAAGAACTGAGGCATTCTTTCCCTCTGCCCAACCTTTCAATGGTGACAGAGCCACAAGGATCCCTCTCCTGTCCTTCTCCCTTTTCATTCCACACATTCCCTGGGTGATCTCATCCTCAGCCACAGCTTCAAATGCAGGGCAGTGCATTTTAGTAGGGCTAGTGTCCAGAAAGACCACCTGTAATTCTGAACTCACATAATACAAAATGTTTCAACCTCCCTGTTAAGTACCCCCAAACGATCCGTCTAAAACAGAGCTGACCGCGCCATTCCCCTGCATGACATCCTTCAACTGTGATCTAGAACCTTAAAACACACGCATTCTCCCTAGCAATGTGTGAGCCCTTCATCCTAGTCCCTGTCTACGCCTCTTGTCCCGTTTCTCCACACATTTCGCATTTGCCTTATTCTCCAAATAACACCGCTAGGAAGAGCCTTCACACACATCATTCAACAAAAACAGTGTGTCTACTGCACAGCAGGCACAGCTCTGGGCACTGGAGACCCAGGAGGTAATAAATGCTCCAGCTCTCTGGAGGCTGGACTCTAGTAGGCACCATCTTGATGGAGGTCACTGAGTCCTCACTCTGTCTGGGAGGTAGTGTCGTGCCTGTTTTTCAAAGTAAAAACCTGGAGTTTAGAGCGATGAAGGTATGTGCCTGGGACCAATAACTCTTCTGTGACAGAGGGGTACCTCCAATTAAGTCTGAGTCTCAGAGCCAAGGCTAGTGCCCACACTGCCATAGTGTGAACACTCCTGGCACACCTATCTAACAAATGGCAGATCTCTCCTCAAAATCAGTATCCAGAAGCTCTAATTTTTCAATCTTCTTTCACTTGCATTCTGAAAAAATGAATTCATTGCTGTAATCCATGATGAGGAAGCTGAGACCAATTGGTTATTCATTCTACACGCACTTACTGAGCGCCCACTATCTCCCAGGTACTGTGGTGAGGACTGGAGAAGGAATCAAAGGTAATGCGTCAGATTCCCTGCTTGTACGAAAGTCGGATTCTCATGGGAGAAAGAACTCCCACCCCAATCATCATGATCGCAGTGTGATAAATGCAATGTTGCATGCACAGAGGACGGTGCTGCCCTAAGAGCTGGAACACAGACAGCAAGCAAAGAGAACAGGAACACATTTCCTGCACACGGTAAGCCAGACAGGGAGCCCCGCCGTGCTCAGAGATGCTATGATTTAATACTAAGCAAAGAGACTTTGAGAAGTGAACTTTCATTAGCTACATCACACTCTGGAGCCCAGGATGTTTTTACCACTACATCAGGAGCCACATGCAAGTCCCCACTCCCTCCCCGAATTGGAATAGCATAGCTCCTATGCAGCACCATAGTGGCGTGTGCACTTGTCTTTATTACAGCCCTTCCCACCCTACAATATAAATGTCTTTTAATTTGGCTGCTTCCCCCTGAGCTGAATGCTCTTTAAGCAGGGATAAAGTATTACTTTGCTCTGCATCCCAGCACTTAGCCCTACCTAAGCATGTAATCCTTACTGAATACGGGGAGAAATAACTACAACTCCTCCAATCTAATGGGAAAGACTTTGGAAAAACAGACACCTTACCAGTCTTCTGTTAGGGGTATTTCCCCCAGAAGTCTAAATAGCGATTTCCTGAAAGGGTCTAAAAGTCTGAAGCCTGAATGTACATCATGCTACTCCTTTGCCTTAATGCTCACTCTCCAAACCTAAAGGACTACTTTATGCTATGGACCCTATATTGAAAGTAACATGGTGCCCTACCTAAGACAGGTGAACCAGGAATTCACAAGCATTCTTCTAATTTAACATTTCAAGGAGTATACAATGAGTATCAACTCTATATCTAATACTCCATGCTGGGCTCCATGAAGGAGGAAACCAAGAAAACTTGTCCTGGTAGCCTAATTAACTTTTGAGTACCTACAGATATGCCAGACATGCTACACAGATTCTCTCATGACCTTTTCATAGATGAAGAAACTGAAGTTATTCAAGCTTACTATTACCACAGGTAGCAACACAACCTTTACCCATTTAAGAAGCAAAACCCGGCTGGGCGGAGTGACTCACACCTATAATCCCAGCACTTTCAGAGGTCAAGGTGAGCAGATCACCTGAGCTAAGAGTTCAAGATCAGCCTGGCCAACATGGTGAAACCTTGTCTCTACTAAAAATACAAAAAATAGCTGGGTGTGGTGGTGGGTGCCTATAATCCCAGCTACTTGGGAGGCTGAGGCAGGAGAATCGCTTGAACTCGGGAGGCGGAAATTGTAGTGAGCTGAGATTACATCATTGTACTCCAGCCTGGGCGATAGAGTGATACTCTGTCTCGGAGGGGGGGATAAAAAGAAGCAAAACCCTGACCATTGCAGGGTGGGAGGAAGAGATGAGAAAAATACAATCTAGAACACAATCAACTGACTATTAATGGTATGATATTTTGGTCTCTTTATTCTCTTAAGCTATTATAAACCCTATAGCACAGGGCAGGGAATTATCGCTGTTGGTTCTGAATTGGTGGTACACTAAATGATACGGGCAGCATATCAAGGAGGAGAAATTCCTCATGAGTCTAAGAGAGAAAGAAAGAGACACTTTAGTACTTTTCAGGTTAAAACAACAAGAACAAAAAAAAAAAAAAAACAGTAAAACTTATTAAATCAAAATCCTATAAGGCACTTCAAGACCCAGAGCATAAAAGCCAAGGGAGGAAGGAAGCCTGCTTGGTTTCCTTTATAAGCACACAAGGACGCTTCACAGAGCCAAGGATTGCTTTGTGACCCAGAACGTTAAACCGTTCCTTTGAATTCTAGAGGAAGGAGCAAGCAGAACCTCAGGCTGCTTCTCACAGACTAAGAATGGGCTGCTGATCACCAGAGAAGCCATGCACCAACAGGTTTAAAATCAACTTTCCAATTTTTGAAATTAGATAAAAATGTAAGCAGTAATTAAAGCCTAATTTATTTTAGAGTTATCAGAGACACTTTATGAACATGCATCTTTATGCTCAAGCTTCTGGTATCCACTGTGATGTTCTCTAGTACCTGGTGTCTTTCAGTGTCAAACATCCCCTTGATGGCAGTCTCTGTGCATTAATAGGTGGTCCTGCCTAATGGCATACTCTTCTCTGAGAATGGGATCACTCCCTGATTTGTCACTGCTGTAAGAAAATCCTTTTTTGAATAAATTAGAGCAATAAATTACATTTAAAAAACTGAAGAAACAAATCTATTCTGAGACAATAAAAGGTTATAACTTTGAAATTTTTCACCCAATTGATTGGTGCTGGAGTCTTGCCTCTCAGGTGAGCCTACACAGAATGCCAGTGACACCAGACCAAAGTAGGGGTCATGTCTTCTGCCTGCAGTATGGCTATGCCTCAAGAGATGCTTTCATTAAGGAAAGGCAACTATTTCATCATGACAAGAAAAATATCCTCACAAGTGTATAAAATAATTTTTCTCAGTATTACTTTGCATATTGTGTACATTATGTTTTTAAAAGCCTTTGTCTTTAAATAAGGACCCCAACAAATTGACAAGTCATAAGATACTGATGTCGAAAAGATCCATGAGAGGTCTGCAACAGAAAGAGCCCAAAATTATTCATCTATTCATTCATATAAATAACTTTTATTGTGCCCCTATTGTGGATGGCATGGGTACAAATGAATTTTACCAAATTTGGTAATAAAGTTTGGTCCCCTGCTTTCTCAGCTGAGAGCAGGGAAGGGTAAGCAGACCACAGCCCATGACCAAATCCAGCACACTACCTGTTTTTACAAATAAAGTTTTATCAGAACACAACTACTCTCATTCATTTACATAGCCATGGATATGACTGCTTTTCTGCTACAACATCAGATGTTGAGTCAAATGCACACAAAATATTTACTCTTTAGCCTTTACAGAAAAAGTTTGCTGGCCCTAGGCTTAGAGTTTAGCATAAAGACAGCGAAAGTACAGCCATAGATAGGTATTTACTTCCCAGCTGTCTGATGAAACAGCCTGAAAGCAATGACCACCGGCACTCCAAATCCTGACTTCTAAACAGCATTCCACACTAAAAGAAACCAGCGCGCCTTTGGGAAAAAATGGCTGATTCAAGGGCTAGGGCAGAGCAAGTACACGATGAGCATGGAACAAGAAGCTGTTACAGATCGTCAAAAAAAAATACTGCCGGGCGTGGTGGCTGACACCTGTGATCCTAGCACTTTGGGAGGCCAAGGCGGGTAGATCACCTGAGGTCAGGAGTCCGAGATCGGCCTGGCCAACATGGGAAAACCCCATCTCTACTAGAAATACAAAAATTAGCTCGGCATGGCAGCACGTGCCTGTAATCCCAGCTACTCGGGAGGCTGAGACAGGAGAATTGCTTAAACTCTGGAGGCTGAGGTTGCAGTGAGCCAAGATCACACCACTGCACTCCAGCCTAGGTAACAGAGCAAGACTCTGTCTCAAAAAAAAAAAAAAACCCAAAAACAAAACCTAGGAATGATCCTCTCAAATGGACCCAGGAGCCAGAGCACAAGGCTCCCAATGGCCGAATCTTAAACAATCTGAGTTTCAATTTACACAGTGATAATAAAGGATTATAACCCACCAAATTAAAGAAAAATGCATGAATTTAGAAGACAGATAAGACTGAATAAGAAAGAGGGAAAGAGATAATGAAAAAGAGAGAAAGGGAGAAAGAAGGAGGGGAAACGATTCCTTTTCGGTGAATATCAACTAGTAAATGTACATGGAATGACTGTTAGAAAATTACCATTTTACAACAATCATAGCAATAATTCAGCTAAGAAACGTTAATGGATCTAAAATTTGTGAGGGAGAGGTTAACGAGGAGCAGGATATTTACAGTCTCAAAGTATCTCCTCATAGAAGTAATAATTAATTACAAAAGGAAAGTAACAATTTTACAGAGGAGAAAACTGGCACCACCTTAACCAAGTGACTGAACTTCTCACCAATAACGATGCAGACATTGTGTGCCCAAGGTATGAGGGACTGAGAAGGACATACCATTACCTCAGTGGCATTCCTGTCCAGACAGTGTGCGACATAAATCGAATTTTAAGGAAACATCAGGCAACTACATGGAGGGGCATTCCACAAAAAACTGGCCTTGTATAGTTTTCCAAAATGCCTATCATGAAAGGTAAAGGTGGACAAAGCAGCTACTGCAAACTGAAACACTAAAGCCTGACACTATACAAAATACGTGATCTTGAATTGCATCCTGTAAAACACAAAACCGGAACAAGCGGTGCCATCAGCATGTGAGCTGTAGATGAGGTAACAGCACTGCGTGGTTGCTAAACTTCCTAATTTTGATCCTTGTACTATGAAAGGGAAGGCCCTTATTTTTAGTAAATACATGCCAAGGTATTTAAGTATTCAGGGGTAAAGAGACCACAATACACACGCACCTGACTCTCAATGGAGTCATGGAAACACATCACACACATAGAGGATGATGAAACCAAGATGGCAAAATCTCAACCGGGAATCCAGGCAAATGGGTACACAAGGTTGCGTCGCATTATTCCTCCGTAAGTTTAATATTCTTTCCAAATAATTTTTTTAATACCAGAAAGAAGAAATAAAGTTCTTAAAAGGGGGAAGGAGGAGGAAGGGAGCAGACAGGTAAACAACTACAGTATGCCATGAGTGGGACTACCAGGATGCTATGGGAACACAGGAGATGGAATTTATCATCTGGAGGAGTCAGGAAGTTATATGTTGCTGCCCCAGTGGTTTCCTTTGTCTTGCAATGATCTCTGTTATTGGCTAACGGTTCTTTGAACAAGACTCCTCAAGAAAGCCCATCCTGGCCCTGGGACAAGATAGATGTCATCTGTGAGCCCCCAAAACCTCCGTGCATTCTTCTACCACAGCATTTAACACATTCCTAAAATTGTTCGGTCTACATGTTTGTCTCCTTCACTGGATTAGAAACTATTTGATTAAAAAATGATGGTGATAATGACAATGATGGCAGCAGCAACCATTTCCTCTGTACTTACTACATGCCAGGCATGACGCCAAACAACTCTCCACACACATCTCACTGAAACCCCAGAGAACTCCGCAGGCCATTTTCTTCTCTTTGTTTTTTTTGTTTAATCACCATTTTCCAGACATGGAAGTGAGGCTGGAAGGGGTTCATGTATCCAAGGTCAAAACACAAAGAAGTGGCACAGCTGAGAGATGAACCCAAGTTTGTCTGACTTAAAATCTGTGTTCTGAACTGCTCTTTTTTGCCAAATAGTCTGAATCTGATTTCAGTATCATTTTCAATTACCCGTGGCTTACACATGGTAGGCAAAAAAAAAAAAAAAAAGAGAGAGAGACCATTTATCTAAGTGTTTGACTCCTGTTTATATTTTCTGAACACACCCAAACTGAAAGCAAGAACATAGGCAGCACAGGTCAGTAAGAGAAGCTGGCCCTAAAAGAACAAAAACAAACAAAAAAATTACAAGAAGGAATTCACTACACTGGGAGCTAACCAAAAGCTGAGGTACAGAATTCACATATAAAAGATGATATATGAGGAACAGAAATATAAGTGTAATAATCTCATCTTAGATGCCACAAATATATTCTATGTTAAAAATTTACAGTCAAATTAAACAAATATGAAATGACCATCATTTAATCTTTTTTAATTTTTATTTTTAATTTTGGGGGGCATGGTAGGTGTACATATTAATGAGGTACATGAGATATTTTGATACAGGCATGCAATGCATGACAATCACATCAGGGAAATGGGGTATCCATCCCCTCAAGCATTTATCCTTTCTGTTACAAACAATCCAAGTATATTCTTTTGGTTGTTTTAAAACATATGACAACCACTAGGGTGGCATTCTGCCATGTGCAGATGAGGGAACAGAGGCTCAGTGAGGTAAAGTCATGGTCCAGAACTCACAGGTCAACTTAGCAGTTCAACAAATATTTGTTGAATAAATGAATATGATGAAAAACCCTCAGGAGTATAAATTTTTTAAGTCCTGAGCACTCATTAACCGTATTCAGCCCTGCCAAAAATTACTAAAACAGGAAACATGGCTTTGTCCAAAATTCTTCCCACATCTGATACCTGGTACTCATCAAGTCTCAGCC